CACTTCCGGCTTTTTTCTTTTTTGCTTATGTGGGTGCTGAGGATTTGAACCCAAGGCCTCATGCATGCAAGGCAAGCACTCTACCACTGAGCCACCTTCCCAGCCCAATCCTAATTTTTTTTATGTCATAACATTCTAACATTTTCAGCTTATAAATATAAACTGCCAACAAAATTGTGTCACAAATACTTTACTTTCTTTTTCAAGGGTACTTCCTAAAATGCTGTCAGAAAATGAGAGAGAGACAAAGACAGAAAGGCAGAAACAGAAACAGAGATCTACTTTTTTTTTTTTTCGGTCGGCCTGAACTCTGGGCCTGGGCGCTGTCCCTCAGCAATACAACCCAAAGCTAGTGCTCTACCACTTGAGCCACAGCACCACTTCCGGCTTTTTTCTTTTTTGCTTATGTGGTGCTGAGGATTTGAACCCAAGGCCTCATGCATGCAAGGCAAGCACTCGACCACTGAGCCACCTTCCCAGCCCAGAGAGATCTACGTTTAAGTGGTAGGTAAGGGGAAAATGCTGTCTACAAAAAGCTTTTCTTCTTCCTCTTCTGCTAAGCTATAAGGAACCACAAAGACACTTCTGTACTCCTATTGGCTCCTAAAGCCTTTCTACACACAAAAGTAAGCCACCCTCAAGTTTAAGAGACATGGAGAAGCTTCACAGGTTTTATAGGGTCACTCATAAGTGTTGAGATATTTCTTAACATAAAGCCAGATACTACACCCAACAAAGAAGATGTCAATTCCTATGACTGTTCTGAGTCCTTCATTGAATGCATGCATGAGGCCCTGGGTTTGATTCCTCAGCACCATATAAGCAGAAAATGCTAGAAGTGACACTGTGGCTCAACTAGTAGAGCACTAGCCTTGAGCTGAAGAGCTGAGGGGCAGAGCCCAGACCCAGAGTTCAGGCCCCAAATAAATAAATAACAATAACAATACAATTGAGAGATTATTCTAGTGGTAAGGGGGTGTGGCGCTGAAGAGAACTGACTCTTCATGTCAGGCAATGTTCTACTACTCAGCTACACCCCCAGTTCTGATATTTGTTTTCTTTTCTTGTCTGAGACAAAGTCTTCCTGTTCAAAGCCTGGAACTTCAATTCTCCTACCTACCCTTCTCAAGAGCTAAAATTACAGATGTAGACTATCACACTTCAGATGTTGGAATTGCTTTTAATAGAAATTGCATTTATGCTGTTGAGATGCTTATAGAGTCAGAATCACAGAAGTGTATTTCATTGTTGTTAACACCACTTGAGAGTCTGCCATTGGCACAAAGGGCATCAAGTGGGTTGTCTGTACTGCTACCTTTGGCATTTCCAAGTGTAATGAGGCAGAAACCACCAGATGCTGCTGGCTTATCACCATTTATATGGTGATGACCACCCACTCCCTGCTACCACTGCCATCATCAGGATACTAACCTCTGCTGATGCATGACCCTAAGAGAAGTACAAAGACAACACCTAATATAGATAACTAAACAGTAAAGCAAACTTTTAAAACTCTTTAAAGAATACTCATGCTGTGAAAACTGCTCTTTTGCTGATCATCTTGACGTTTTCAATATATTTGAATTTTTTTTTTACTGTAAAAGCAATAAGATACAAAGCCATTTGTCTTGACTCCGTGATTTAAAATATAATTTTCATGTCATTGTTTTCAGGGTGAATTTTAACTTTATCTTTAAAAATACTGGATAACATATTTAAAGAGCACTCTGCATAGGTAGAATGAGGTTTTTAAAAGATTCCGTGTTAAAGAAAACGTATTCATCTATAAGAGGACCTAAGAACAAACTTTGATTGAAGATAAAATAAATGCAATGCTTTTTCATAGAGAAAAACCTTTAAGAATTGGATTATTATATTACTTAGTGTAAGAGATATAGAATAAAGCATTTTTAACTTGAGTATTAATCTTTTAGTAAGGTGATTTATAATAGTATAGTTTTTCACAACATCTCTACTTCCAGGTATTAAAAGAAGATGAAATAAAACCTTGAACTAGTTTGCCCTGGCCTTAGTAACTCCAGAAGTGCTTATACTGTTTTCTTACTAATACAAGTCAAGATTAAAGACATAAACAGATATACACTATATATACCACATTAAATTGGTCTAATTAGAAATTTGATGACTCCTCCACTTTCATTGGTTTCTCACTGCCTACTCATCTCACATAAATGAATATAAACAATTATCCTTCTTCAATTCTATTTACTGAGCTCAATTAACCTCATTAACTTTCACAATGTTCATAAGGAAAAATGAAGTATTAAGTTTGAAAACCTCACTGAAGAAATAATATCAAGGGAGCCAGTTTTGTGTTTTGTTTTGGTTTTTAATCTGCTTCCTTGGGTAGTTAAGCACTGTATGGGCCTCTTGGACCCTCTTACTCTGAAAACTGCAAGTTAAAAATTTAATCTTTTTTTGAAATTAATGGGAAGCTTAGAGGGTTTTGTGCTAAAAATACTAAAGGTGGCAAGAACCTTCAAAACTTAGCCCAGGATTCCATGTAAAGCCTTCGTGAACACAAAGAAGGAAAAACATATCCTGTCATGTGGAGAAGCAGTATGGTAGAACCTTCAAGTCTGAATTGTGATCTTAAGAGAGGATCACTCTAGCATTCTGAGCTGGTAATGACATATGGAAACACTGTTGAAAACCAAGACCAAGACACAAGTTTTGAAGTTAAGTGCAGAGAGAAAAGAGTGTTCTTAGCTATAGATCATCCCTGAAAATAAAAAAATAAAATAAAATAAATAATAATAAAATGGCTTCAATACTGTAGCTGCCTCATGTTGTGGTCCTAAGCAAACGCAACCAAAATTGACAAGGGCCTTGTTCTAAGCAAAGCCTTTTATCCAGAAGCTTATCTTGTTTCAGTCCACTAGTCTTTACAATTTATAATCCCATCAAAAACAAATAGTTAATAATATATTACATTACATATAAAGTATAGGAGTTTGTGCTTCCAAATCATCAAAAAAATCCGGAGGTCTAGGCAACCCCAGATATCTTACAAAAGAGAAAATAGAGGCCTTGAGCTGTTAAACAAATCAAATATATATAAATACTAGTAGATTATGAATCCCAGGCACTAAATATTAACTTTATAGTATTTATGCAAATATGGTTTGCTACGCTTAATAGAAATATGCATAATGCTCTTATTACCTAGAAATTACATAGTAATGAAAACACAAAAATATATGTAAGCATTTAATGAATTTTTAAAAATAGATGTTCCTTTGCTGTTTAGGAGTACCTTAGTTTTTTCCCCATGGACTTTTATGTGAAATTGAATAAGAAGAGATGTAGACTATTGCAAAAAATAAATGTTCACACAGATGGTTTTCTCATTTGAGAACTAATCAATCCCATCCATCAAAAGTCTAAATTTCAATTAATTTCTAATTAGTCATAGAAGTCTATCCCTTCTTAACATTTATAAGCTTTTGATGATGGAAAGAATCTCAAATATCCTATCTGGATTATAAGTGTGAAAACTGATGGAGATATTTCATGACTGTGTCCTTACTATCTTATTCTGTGGACAGTGAAGGATGATGCACCCCTCATGAAAGAAGGATCACAGGAGAACATAAGTGCTTCTCCATTATGATGCCATTCTAGAAAATAAGGCCATTTCCTGAGAGACATTCATAGTCTTAGCAAAATTGAGACCAACAGGTCCTTCTGGCTTTCCATTCTACCAGAACCCACAAATGCATTGGGAAAACAGTGCTTTACCTACTTTACAGTCAACGATCAGTAAAATAACCTTTCAGTAGATAGATACATAGATAGACAGACAGATAGATAGATAGACAGACAGATAGTATGAGCATGTGTTTTTCCCTTTTTGTTCAACTATAAACATTAGGTTGTATAAATTGTAGGCCTTATTCAAATAGTAGGATAGTTTGGTTTTTTTTTGAGACAAAATCTTTACCATTCTAAGAAATAATGTTTCTTGTTAAATTTTACTGCCTCTGGGCTGGGAAGGTGGCTCAGTGGTAGAGCGCTTGCCTTGCATGCTCAAGGCCCTGGGTTCGATTCCTCAGCACCACATAAGCAAAAAGAAAAAAGCCGGAAG